ATGTAGTTTGCCAGGCCGTATATTGTATATCACGTGGTTAGGCATACGCATAATATGTTGGTACCTTCTAGGTTTTTGCGGTTGCTCGCGCGGTTAACAATATAATAAATTTCCGTCGGCAGCAATTAATGAAGACAATGAAGAAGACGAACCACACGTCTCGTCGTCCAGCGGCTAATGGTCACATTGTGATGTATTAATTGGAAAGAGTCAAGGCCAATAATTATTGTTGCGTCACTATATTATCGGGTCTTCTCCTCGCACTATTACGTGTTAATTTTCGATTAATATCCGTCTATTGTCCGCGGGAACCATACGCAGCTTGGTCGACGACACTGAAATATAATATTAAGCGTATGGGCTTGTTTCTTTTTTTTTAGTAGGTAGTAACTGGTAGATATTATGCGCACGTGCTGTATATTATGTAAATCGTTGATATCATTATTTCCAGCGAACGTGTTCTTTGTGTGCGTCTTCTCGATATGACGGACGGAGACAGACGCAGTCGGACTGCTGCCGACTATTACAGTCTCGTGTTGTGTAACTAAGACTACCATTAACGTGTGACTAACGTGCCGTAATTGGCTAGATTGAAAAAAAAAATGCTATGGAAAGCAGTTTTGTGAATTTGATTTTTCAAACAGTTAAAAAAAAATTACAAGTGCATTAAAGTATAATATTATACAAATTATAATACGATTTTTCACGAAAAATATCGAAAACTTTTACGATTCTCTCAATACTTGCATTTGATGAGGTTTTTTTATAGTTCCTGTATATTGTAAAAATGTGTAACGTTATAGTTTATTTATACAATTATATATTGATAGAAATTGTAGTGTTATATTTCAGATATTTTACGGGTACGAATATTATTTTACATTTTACACACACAAATCGTAAGAATAATGTATAATGTCATTTACGTAATTGTTTCTAATTTAAAATATCAAATTATACATGTAGGTGTAATAGACGAAAGGTGGTGGGTAATCAATCTCAAGTGCATCCATACTGCACTGCAGATTCATAAAAACATTTCATTATTCTTCATATTATAACAATACAAAACATTGCTTTTTTTCCACTTGTACCTATACCCATATATTATAATTATTACAATATCGTCATTTCCGAAATACCTATATTTGGGTATTATAGTCATGTATATATATAATGTATACTTTTTATTACATGGGTACACTATATTATATATTACAATGAAATATAAATTATAAAATATGACCTCATGCAGTAATTCTACCTCGTGTGATTGATTAATCGAATTTCTCAATGTATATTATATATTATTATACCGTATATGCGATAATTTTATCCGTAACAAAATATTTATTGCATAGCTATATAAGCTAAGAGGATAAAGTTTGAATGTCATCATAACGTATATAATAATTCGAGTACAGGTAGGTATTTTTTTTCACTTCGCTTTTTGCAATAATTTGCATACATATTATATACTGTATATACAAATAGGTATTTTATTTGTTTTCCTAGAAGTCGCGTTTCGTTATGTTCAAGGATTTTCTGTCGATTCGACCCCGTTTGGCGTAACATCAAAACCTTACATAATTTCCACAGTCCAATGTTTCCTAGAGGCTAGAACCAATTTTTCTATCTAATGACCGGATATGCGAGCTCGCGGTTTATAGGCGAGCGGGTACTACAGGCATCATTGACGGTTTATCGACATTACCCATTGTCGCATGACGATAAACCGCGTTTTCGTCATCTAACACTGCCGTATATACACGTATTATAATATATAACAGGTATATTTACTTAAATAATGTTGTTAAATTTAAACAAGCAAAACTCTCATCCTCGCGGTGTCATCGATATCCGATTCCTATCTCCTAGATCGAACCGTTATTAGTTGCAGAACCTTGCATAGATATTTTGGTGAGCATTTTCTCTGATCGTCGACGTGTTTTCTTGGATACAATGTAGTCAGATATGTACCAATATTATATTTTATAATATAGAGGCACACACGACCGGCTGCAGGCACAAGTAGACCGCACCGCATCGCAATGGTCATCGCCGTCGTGATTAACAAAGACTTCACACACACACGCGCGTGTATGAGGATTTATTAATTATTATACTTCGATGCTTGCTCCGCCGTCGGGCAGTACCTGAATATTATATGTATTATACATATTATGTGGTGTAAAATACGCGCAATACGATATAGAAACGCTCGCGCGGATCAATGACGGCGATTCAAATCAATTACATGTCTAAAGGTACCTATGGCTACACTGCATCCGTCAATTTTCGTACGATTATTGTTTGACTATATACTGCAAGAGAGAATGTTAATTACACTCGTCAGTAGTTATCACGGCGACCCCTTGGGAGGTTTCACTCGAGTTTTCAATTGCGAACATTTTCAATTCGCACACCTCTAACAATACCTACCTATAATACATACAAGTATATAATACAACGGTGCTTTAAAAGTGCAATCAAAAGAAAATCACATGGATATTAGGCACATATATTATTAATATTCCGTGTGCATGCATCGGTGCTGGCGGCTGTGTTGAAAAACCAAATTATATGATTATGTGATCGTAATAATATAATATAATATAATAATGTATATTATCGTAATTATTATCATGCGACGTAAAATTGTAACAAAAAAAAAATACCCACGTTTGGTTTTTAGACGTAGAAAGAAAATAAATATAATAATTATTTATTTTCTTCTATTTCAGCCAGTTTAGAGAACCTTTCACTATCCCCCATACATTTACATATTCATCAAATTGTGTCGATTCAAATAATGATTAAAGTTTATTTTAATGGTCTTGGAGTAAATTTATATATATAAAGACAGTAATAGGTAAATGGTGAATCGTGATTAGGTTTTTGTGGTTATTACTTAATACTTTATTACACATGTATATACAATGCACATATTATGTCAATAGATTATAGACCATGGACGTATGTAAATTAGATGCCAAAAATATTATTAGGTACTTACATTGTTTTTATGAATGGTAAAAGGGTACATTAGCTAATGTACGAGACCCGGATAACTTAAGATTTAAAAAAATTACTCTTTATTATAATATTGTGTAACGTTATTGAAATACATAAATGTATATATTTTTTGAATCATCTGAATAAAAATATACCATTGAAACTTTAAATTATAATTAGTTGCTTCATTATTATTTATTATTTATTTGCCTTATTTCCTAATAATAAATCAGCCACTAGCTATTAATGACCAATAATATAATAATTATTAAAAACATTCTTTGTAAAAACATTTTGAACAATGTACTAAAATTATAATCATTTTGCATAGTATGTTCCATAAAATATATAAAGTTTAATCGCTTAAATTTCTAAACTATAATAGTTACATCTTAACGATACAGCAAATAATGTTGTATTCTTATATCTAAAATTATAAACATTTTATTTTAATAATAAACAAATAAAAACATCAACACATTATATTAATTTATGTAGTTAAGTAGTAAACTAAATAAGTTATATACAAATTATGTGTAAGAATTGAAAATATATGTGATCAAATGTAACTATATACAACTTGTAATTGTTACAAATAATAGTTAAAATGACGTCAATCATGCAACACATTTGTTTAAAATATTAGAAATTAAGATGTTTGTAAAAAAAAAAAAATAGATAATCCCGTAACTACCAATTACATCTATACCTAGTTAATTAACTTGTATTCGATGAATAAATAATAAGTATAGAAACCTATCTAATACCTTTTTCAATACATAACATTACACTACACATGTACCCGGGTGGATTTATTTAAATTGAATTATATTCTTGATGGTTTAGATAACATATTATACACTTTCACGCGAGAGTTGTATGCATCTACTATACTATTAAAAGCATGTAATTACTTTTATTATAATATTACCATTGCAATATCTTTTCGACTGCAGTTTTAAAGCCCACGAAAAAAGGTAAGATTTTGAACATTTAAAAATTGTAATACGCATTACTTATAAATAAAATAGGTAGTATATCTTTTTCGCCCGATTATACATGATATATTGCAACATATTAATTGCAACCCTTGTACTGCATCTCCATCTTAGGCTTTGTCCCCTATCTTTCCTTAAGTACTACATAATTTCATTAATGTATTATAAAAGATGCTCAGAATTTGCAGTACCTAGTTTAACTGCACAGATATAACATAATCACATATCTACACCAAACAGTGAAAGCAATAGCATATTTACGAAGTAAAAACTACAATTTTATTTCATTGATATTATTTGATAAAACTCAGTATGAAACTATTTAATTGTGAGAAAATAGATGAAGGTAGTAGGCCTAATAATATTTCTGAAATTATACTATACACTGATCATTGTAGTGTGCTTGTGTATTGAATTTAACGTTAAAGAGTAGGTATAAACTGCTGCAGCGATTATAAGTTGTTAATGTAAAGCTTAAATTATTGATCGATATTTTTTTTATAAACGACTAATTTTAAATTTTAAATTGATCTAGTACTTATTTTACAACACCTGATATACCACAGTGTATATTATATTTTGCATTAAACTTGTTTTATATTTAAAATAAATAAAATAATTCACAGCTAGTTATTGTATACTGTAATGCATGTGTATTATATTATAATTATAGGGTTAGACGGATTTTTTCCGATATTTTTAAAAATATTATTCAGGTGACAACCGTATTAATGTCTTTATAATTCACATTAAACTTTTCAATACATGTAGTTCCCAACACCCAAACTGATCATGTTGCTAAACTGTATACGGACTCATAAATGTTGATCCCATCGTTTAAGTCTTTCAGTCTCCACTTTACATCAGGGTGCGACCGCGGTTAGTTATTAAATACAGTCTCTGAGATATGTATGTAATCGATGTAAACAATTATTATTACTATTACTAATTATTAAATATCATAATATAAGAATATCTTGAACTTACGTTGAAATATTGGGCTATCCGTGTTCACGTTAGAATATATATATATACGACGAAACCGATCACGCACTAGTGTCTGACAGACTTTTGTTCGCGGTGATCATATTATCATCATCATTATTAATTCATAATTATTTTTTGTTTTTTTAGCAAATATTATAGTGAAATATGTAAAATATAATAAAAATAAAAACAAAAATAATAACAACACGTAAGGATACACGCGCGTCTAAACCGGAAAATACGTATGAGAGGACTAACGCTCAGACGGTGTGCGCACATCGCGGTAGACGGCCACGAGGACCGCTGCACCACCAAAGCCCCACTATATAATATTATATACGTACCTAACACATATTACTGTAGGCAAGAACCTATATATATATATGTGTGATTTGCGCTTGAAACAAAACCCTATAGGTGTACCGTGATCGTCGTGGTTGGCTGGTTAATAAATATACGTTTTACACAACATAATATAATAATAATAATAGTAATGGTAATGGTATAATGTTATAGGTTAGGTTAACGATATAGGTATATATTGTAGTAGTCGCATTGTTTTATAGGTCTATATAATAATAATATATTATGATTATTTATTATTATTGTATACACAGTACAGATGTAACCCATACCTATTTAGTATAGCGCTTCCATATGCCGCAACAAAGATTTCGTAGGATTTTGTCGATTCCCACGCGCCACTGAGATTCATATCAAAAGTTGTTTTTACAAAAAATATTTTATATCTATGTGATTACTGATTAGGTATCATGTTTTCCGTTTTGGTGACACCAAAATTAAACTTTTGTATTAATCTGCTGTTATTCAATATTTCAGTTGCAGAACGTAGAAACTAGAATGTTTATTTATTTTAATACTACCATTGTAGTATTGTATTATAACTATATAGTATATATCTTAATGTTAAAGAAAAAAAAAAAGTTTTAAAAGTCATAATATATTACTTAGGCATAGAGGTACCTACATAATATTCTTTTGACGGTAATTACAATTAATATTTTATGCAATGTTAATTATGGGTTTAAAATTAAATATTATATTGTTATAAGAATTCTTTTAAACACGTCATATTCATTGAATATTACGTAATATTTACGCATAAAAACACTTGGGTCTCAAGTACTTTCATGCCAAATCTCGAGTTTATAACTTTCTTTCATACATTTCTGGTAGTTAAGTGTTTTAAAAAAAAAACACAATAACTAAACAAGATGTATAACATTATAAAGATTTAAACGAATTTTAAATTGATAAAATAATTGAAAATATCAAAAATACCTAATACTGACTATCATAGTCACCATACACTCCGTTAAGAATAAAATATTCGTAAACCATAATCATTTAAAAGAATATAATTTACTCATATTTAGAAATGTAATTACTTTATAAATTATAAATTATAATAGTAGTCATAATAATCCATTAAAACATACATAAATATAAATAAATTATGTTGTAACAAAGTGCTCATGGAAATATAAACAACAGTAAGTACCAATATAATTGTATAAAGATTTAAGATAATATTTATTTCTTAGATTGTAGGTTGATTATTATTTTTTTAATAAAGTAAGTAAAAATACTTAGGATGAATGCGCAAAAGTAGACCATAGAATATAAACCAACTATACGGTCTGTGGAATAAATAAACACAACTAATCGCATTACCTTAGAATATAATGTAATAAAACTATTTTTTACGCAAATCATTGTTCCAACAAAGTATAATATAATATAATATTATCTTAGAAATATGACTTCATTGTGTAATTGTTTGTTGAACAATTTAATCTAAAATACATTATACAAATAATATTATGTTCACAGCTTAACAGTTTAACACACGATTTCTAAATAGTTCCCAACACGGTATTTGAATTGGTCTTGTATTTTAAAAATTAAATTATTATCATTGAATGTAAATTATTTATATATCAAAACTTAAATCAAAAAATAATAAGAATCAATTTTACTCGGTGGTATGGACCCTTACTTCTAATGCTATCGTTTCAATTTTGATATCAATCAAATATTCATCAGACGTTACAAATTATTTAATTATTCAGATTGGTACCTAAGACCTAACCTACCCATCTAAAAGAACGCACCACGCGTGAAAGTCTAAAATTGTCCACCTGCTGTTCTGTTATCGAATGAAACTAAATTATATGGTACGTACATAAATGCATAACTATTGATTGCGATCATTCAATACGTCAATCGCCCAAATATAATTTAGTTTAATAGGTACCTACCAGCAGTAATTGCTATAAATTATTATAAGTTATAAAACTATTAACCATAATATATTATAAGCCATTTAAACTTTTTATCATATATATTATTACATATCATAATAAGTATCAAAATACTATTTATACGATTTATTTTTTAAATGAAGAAATAATTATAGTATTCTATGTGCTTATTAATTATGTTAGAGACGCCGGGATCAGTACCTAAGGTTTAGTGATATAAATCATTTGCAACAAATTTACAATATATGACGTGATACACGGTACAAAATCAACTTATTTATTGACATAATCGTACTGCAATATGCGATTTACAATAATATTGGTTTATTATAACTTTATTTTATATTATCTTTATTGTGGGATATACCGATACCTATTACCTATCTTATTATTTAGTAGATAATATTATTATCAGTTCAAATTCTTTATTTATATGTGGGTACACTCGTCTAGTCGTGTTGGTAGGTATACCTACGCGGCTACGCACATTCACAGTTAATAATTAATACGTTCTAATGGCTTGCAGTGGAGGATAGGCTTATATTTTTTTTCCGGGAAGTAATTTGAATAATTGCCTCCCCCCCCCCAAAAAAAAAAAAAAAAGAGCGAGCAATATATTATTTTGATATAACAATACAATACAAAACTTGGTATATAATGAGTAATATTAAGTCCTCTTAGTAGAGATTTGTTTATTTTTTATAGTTAATACATTAATGATATTTTGAAAAACTCACTGTTTAATGCAACCTCATCAATTACACTATCTGTACTAATAGAAGTTAAAATTTCTTTTTCTACACTCATGAATCATGAGTATAAAACATTTAAATGATCTCGATTATTTACGAATCTGGGGGCGCTATATCAACCAATATATTATTATAAAGGACGATATACCGTCTTTCAATGTTGAGTTTTGTCAGAATTGCGTCAGAAGTATAATAATGAATTAAACATGAACTTTAAAACATCAAAATAATTTAAATACCAGAGAATTTACCATTTTAAACGTTGGTTTAACATTAGTTGATTTATTTTATGTATGTTTTAAGAAAATGTGAAAATTATAGCAATATTTTGATTTGAAATATACATAATGAATACTTATATAATTTGAAATATATAATGTAATCAACAAACATAAAATAGGAAATCTCTGCAAAAATGCATATAACTTAAAAAAACTACAAAATTACCTATGTGATACGCCTTTTATGTGATTATTACATGTTTATATATATATATCTATATAAATTAAAAATATATAATTTATACAAAACCTATCTGGATATTGCCATATTAGAGTAAGGACATACAATATTTATCCAAAGAAATCTTGAACCTATTGAATTAGAAGTAATGAACCTATATTGATTATTTGATTGCGTGTTATACGTGTTGGTGGTGTACAAAGATGGACGAAAATAATTAATGTATACATACCTATATAATACATTAATACCTAAATCTTTGTCTACATCTTTTGGTTTGTGATCATTGACTGTGACTAAACCAAGCACTCAAGGTACAAGAAGAATTATCTGATTCACATATATGTATTTAAGTATTGACTAATGATAATACTTAAAGATAATACTTAGAGACATAGGTAATATATTTATGTAGCCGTAGGTACCATACATGGTTAAAGTGTTACACCTAATAGGTGGGTACCTATTATTTATAAATAGACGTTCTGCATTTAAAATAGTACAATTTTTATTTTAACACATCTTTCATTAAGTCCACTTATTTAAATATAATTTTTTTTAAAAATATAGTATTTCAAGATAAAATTGTATGTATACAATTATGTATAGGTATATATTATATCTCAAGTGTGCCATATGGTTTTTTTCATTCATTTTTGCAGCCTAAGAGTTGAAACTTGGGATTTCTATTTTATTGAATTCATATAAATCCTGGGACATTAAAAAAAAACAAATTAGATTTTTTCATTATCAGATTGCAAGGGATGAGGCATGCCCATATTCTCTTCTACTTCTAACAACGATCTGGAAATTCGAACAGGTATTGAACTCAGATGTTTAATATTAAAAAAAATTCTCAGAAAACACCAAAACCTAAAATAAAGATAAACAGCATATCTATAAAAAATGTCGTTTTAGTTTTGTGTAAACTTAAGCACATACACATTTTAACCAAACGTGTAACGTCCACTATTGGCTATATTCGTTTCAATTATTATGGGTACTTAAACCTATATACACATGATGAAATATGTGCTTTTTAGATGTTAAAAATCAATTAGTGAACACAATCATTTAGTTTATACTTAATTGTAAAATAAGAATTTAACCTTCGATAATAATATATAAGGTGTTTCATTATAAGAACGCCGGATTTATTTTGCCTGGTATTTTTCGTTTTATGTGTTGGCTGACCGGTGACATTGATCATTGTTATCCATAAACTTTACACAATTAAATTCTGTAAAGGTTTAAACGATAACATTTTGTTTTGTTAATTTATTTTGATTGTTTATAACTTTATGTTTGCAACCATGGTGCGACCAGTGCAAGATGTCAAAACTCCTACGCGTCAACGCAGTCGTAGATCACTTTTGAATCAAGAAATGATTTTTGACAATGTTTTGACCAGTCCAACGAAAACTCTTCGTCGATGATCACAACAGTTGGCGAAACAATTTTTTTTAATAAAGTTATTTCTTAATGAAACACTCGATGTAATACACATACATAAAATATCATATCATTGTGTCCTATTTGTTTTATAAATTAAATTTTAATCAATACGCACTGCAGAAGTTAAGCATGATTACTAAATTATTATTTATTATAATAAAGTACAAAAGCATATTTTTAAATTATGTACAAACAATAATTAGTATAATAATGAACGAATGGTATTAATATGTGGATAATAGTGACAATTGTCAATTATGTTGGGCAACTTAAAGAAATTTTGATAGATTTCATACTAAATGTTAGAACTT